TTTTCCGTCGTTCAACTTGATTAGCTTGGGTTTATTTCAATTGTATTAATGGCGTTTGTTACTTAACTGCATCCAAAGAAATCATCAGCCAAAAGCAAAATGAACGTAGAGCGGCCACAGAGTTTATCATGTCGCCAAAGTCTTCCACGTTCTTGAATTATAAATTGTTTTGCTTGAATTACCTGTGATGAGGTTAAAATGCAGTATGATCTAGAAACTAAAGATAATCGATAATTTTTACAGAAGTTTTATATTTCTTAAGGATTTAAATTTCACTTTGCTCTGCTCTGTATTTGCTATAGTGTGCAATATAAATTGCGTTAGCCTCGTGCGTATTGTGATACATGTAGATTCAACCGTGCACGTAAAGCATTAATTAGTTTATGTGAAAAAGCATTTTCCACCTTTTGGATTTTGACAATCGGTGTAGAAATTGGCGTGTGAGTTGAATCTGCAAGTCACGGTATTTTTTCAACTTGTAAGTCAATTAGTTTGGAATTTAAAAATTCTAAACGGTATTGGTCATTCAAATGCATTTAAAGATACACCGTTCCAAGTGGCTGCATACAGTTTCTTGAGTTTATCGTGCCGCAATATAATAATGCCGGTCTGAAACTCAAGTCTGGTTTTTAAAAGTAACATTTTTGTGTAACTTTTATGCATGCTTAAGAAACATTACTTCGATTCATTAGAGTAATTACTTCCACTTTGTGTTATCTTGGACGGAACGTTATAGATTCCAGCCTTTGGCTGTCTCTATCGGTGAGAAACATGCTCTCTTCGCGTCACAGCCTCTTTCAGTCTTTAAAAATCAATTCGGTTGACTGGCGTTTTTAAAGGATATCAATGGAATTCTTAATTCACAGGATACTGATGGCACCACTGACTGACATTAATTCGAAAACACTACTATAACATTATAATGTGAAACGTTTAACTGTGACCCTTTCATTACATTAAAAAAAAATTATACTGCGATATTGAACTTGTTATCTCTCTCACACGCGCGCGCGGACGCCTACATTCTCTCATTTTGTGGAATGTCTCTGTTATCGCTTGTTTCAAAACCATACTGGTGACGCATTTTCGGGTTGAGGATTTTCATTTTAACCAGCTGGGAAGCTATCTTACAATCTCAACGGTACATAGAAGTTTAAATTTATCCCTACAACATTTCTTTGTTTCCAAAAATATTTAATGGGTTATTTTCTTTGATGGGCTAGCATCCGCACTGAGGAAAATATCAGTTGGGTGCAGAGCACGGGTGGAACGCACGCTTACTAAGGCATACGAATGGCGATTTTATTAAATTTGTTAAAAATAATAATTTACCAATTTGATCGGACTTTTTTGCATTATAGTAGACAAGGGTGGTTTTTAAAAGTCGTTTTGTGTTGAGTTTAGGTTTATATTCCGATCAAAGTGTCAGCCGAGTGAATTAAGTGCCACTTGCACCTGTGCTGGTGGTACTCTGAACGTCAGTATCTGGTGACGAATTTCTTTCGTCTTCGTATACTGGCCTCGCAAATTTCCAAATTGATTTTTCCACACTTCCTTTCTCCTAACTTTTTACCCACCATGGCATGCGTCTGTTGCTCTACTGCTTCAAGTCGGATACAACCTAAACAATCCAAAACTACAGCGCTCACCTGAATAGCTCCTATGGCACCTCCCCTTTGATGACATGGGCGGGTCTAAGCAACAAGCTCCCTCGCAGTTATCCAATAAACAAATATTTTTCACTAGAAAGTTATAAGAAATGGTTCATTTTTAAACACACAAACAAACAATAAAATTAACAAACGAAGCCCTGACTGACATTATCTAGATCTGTATTACAATTTTGCACATTCTGTAATGGAACATGCTTTCAAGAACAAAAGTGATCAAGCATTTAAGAGATAATCCCCGATCTATGTCCTTATATCATTGGAAATCTTGCAAAAGAGCAGCGGTCAATTACACCAGCTGAATGACCTCACCCTTTGCACTGACGGTGATGAATGTTATAAACGAGATGCGCTGCTGGACAAGCGTCACAAAGTTGCAGTTAGTGAATATCAAACATATCCAAATTGTTTTCGCCAACGGTTGTGCCTCCATCACAATGAGCTCATCAAGCATTAACATGCTTGTGTACTTTCTTCTCTGGACTGCAGTGTTCGGACAACAGAACCACACAACAAAGAGACAGTTTAAAGAAACAGCGAAAACAACTGTCAGCATCCGTCAGTCTACACAATGCGTCAGAGGGAAACTATGTAACACGACGGTTTCAACTGCCCAGGAGTCACCGACCTATGCCAGTAACGAGAAAGAAGCGGGTAATGAAGTGTTACCGACTAAACAAGGCGTGAAAAGTGATATACCGTCGTTCTTTAAGAACACAATCCCAACTATCTATCCCCCTTTGCAGAACGTCCGCCGGAACGTCGCCAAGAGATCGGTGACTACGCAGACTACGCCCTCTCCATTGAATACAACTGATCGTCCATGGGGCATTACAGGCAACCGTACAATGAACAATCACATTTGCGCAGCAGAGTCGAATGAAATGTCTGTCAGTGTGCAGGTGCTGTGTCATTGTGACGAGCTCTGCAATCTGTTTCGAGATTGCTGCGAACCGCTCCATTCCTGTGGGAATAACTCAGTACCCCAAGGACAAGCAATACAGAAGTCTGCTCTGAAAGATAACATAGATTGCGTATTGCAGTCTACAACCACCCTGAACGGAATTGAAAGTGGATATTTTTGGATGATAACTTCTTGCCCAAGTAATTGGTTGAGCAGCACCGAGCGTAACTTTTGTGAAAATGCTACCGAAACCAATGACATTGACAGTTTGCTGCCAGTCTCAGATCCAGACACAAAACTGACTTATCGAAACAAATTCTGTGCAACCTGCCACGGTTCGACGAACCACCTCAAGTGGACGCCTTTATTCACCTGCCGCTTAACTTGGGGAGACAGCACGGAGCTCTATCTTAACTCATCTAGCATTGATGATATATTGATCCACATCAAGTCAGATCCGGGCTGCATGCTTTTCTATGTTCCACCACCGTCAGTTCCTGGAAGGCAATGTGTTCCGAACGGAGAAAGTCCAGTTACGTCAATTTTGTGGAACACCGGTAGATTATGTAAACGAGACGCTGATCCAATACACAAAGAGATGTGTTCTACAGGGCCACTCTCGCTAGTCTACATAAAGAGAGGGTGGCACGGAGCTGAACTGTATGGCAGGAACATATATTGTTGGCTTTGTCTCTACAGTTTAGGTTCACAACCAATTGTACAAGCGTGTTCTACTCCACGTAAGATATACATCTTTTTATATATATATTTTGTCTTTTGCTCTAAAAGGGGACAATGATTTTCACTGTGAAATAATTATTAAGTACGTCACACGCGGTTTTACTAGAATGTATTCCTTTCACTTGTATCACGTAAGAGATCTTGAGCGACTGGATGGTCAGGTGCTCCGGTTTCTGTGGTTAATGGCTAAGTAATATAAAAGTTTTTTTAGATGTCTATCAATACATGTTTTCGGTGTGACACAGAATACCATTCTAACCATTCCAACGTGACTCTGTTTTCGTGCGATAGATCAACCAAATTGAGTCTTAGTCTAGAAAGAAAAAGAAAAAATCGCCATGGTTGTAGACCTGGCCTCTGTGAAATTTTGATCTTGTATTTTTGTACAACTAATTTAATGTATATGTTGCAAATATTGAATAGTAATAAATGTTGCAAATATTACATAACAAATCATATTAAATCATACTAAATACAATCTTTGTTAACAATCAATAAGTCTTGCTTACTGCTTAATTCGACACTGTGAAATAGAACTATTCATCGATTAAGTACTAATAATAGATTATTTTTTAATTATTTTTCATTCATGTAGCCTCAGGAAAGAGGACGTTTGCTCCAGTAGGGTTCACAATGATGCTTGATCCTTCAAAGACATTCGCCAAACAATGCATACCAAAAACCATGGTAAGTCTTGTTATAGGAACAGATGTTCCCGTTAGTAATACAAATACGTGGTAAACTAAAAGTATTCTGGCGATTTCCATTTTGAAGACCATAGTCAATCATGCAATGGGATGGAATTTCGACTTTTGCTCAGTAAATTTCGTAAGAAAGTACCAACTATAATGAAATAATATAAAATATATTTCCGGTGTGGACAACTATCTCTCAAATGATTTGAACATTTTTCTGATTTCTCACAAACAAAACAGTGACAACCTACCACAGATTTAAAACTTTAATATGCCAAAATAATAGGATTTTTGAAATCGCTTCTATGTGAAAATAGATTTCATTGCAAATCCATTCCATTCCAGTCGGCATGCAGTACGGAAAATGAACGCTGTCTCTCCCCGGCACTAGCCCTTCTCAACGTAGGTTACCAATTGCAAATGGCGCTAACTCACAGTGTTTCTTTGAACATTTCTGGAGACATGCTTGGTGTTTGCAGGGTGTTCCGTAACTACTTGAGTTATTTTTTTCATACATCCAGTAACATTGCTTGGATGTTTAAAAATGAATGGGTACTGCAACCGCGCGGAGCATGTTCCAAACCCACTGTGGATCAGATGAAGATGGCGCCATATTCCAATGTTGTGGTGATTATGCACCGCATTCTTGTACTGCAAAAACAGATCAGCTGGTATTATGATGGGGTCAGAATGTTGGAAACAATGAAGAATCGCATCAACGATATCCTGCACGCGAAGAAAGCAACCGTGCCATACAATGGTGTCGAGTTCAATGTTAGAGTAATCCTGGATGACACAGTGCCTTGTGGTAGTAATGAGGGATTAAGCAAGGTTGAGCCACCCCTACCAGATAAGACCGCTGGAAATAGTGGAAATCCCCGCAGCTATACCCGTTGGATGGCATTCACAGTCATTTGGTTCACGTGGCCGGTTTTCGTCCACATTATCATATGTGAGCTTATAAGCTAAATGAACGGTGTGCCCCGACAGAACGCTTTATCGGTAACCAGGAGAGAAGCACATGTACATTTCCGATGTACGTTTCCGATCTGAGTTTTGAATATGGTTTCGTTTTGCATCATGTCATTATTTTTAGAGATAGAATAAATCCAAATTCTCAAAAGTTCGATAAACTTGTTGCCATCATACTATTATGTTATTTTATGAACAAAAACTAGTAAGATTTACTCAGAGTCTATCTCAGGACCCGGAGATAAGTGAACTACAATCCATTACCTGTACATTTCCACCACATATGTTAATAAAGTTTTGAAAAAGACAATGTAATTTTACAACATAAGCCAAATATATAGATCTCCAAGTTTATGTAAGACATAAGTTAATACCCTTCATATGAAAAAAGAACGAAACTTTTTACACCAAACATTAGAAAAAGCTCACATAAAAACCAAAAATACATATGTAAAAGGAAATAATGCTAAATGCGAAGTAAACTTGACTCAATAAAATTGCTTCAGTTGCAGTTGCAAAATTTTGTCACCGTGATAAGAAAAATGACTGGCTTCCATTAAAAAAAAAACAATAACAAAGTTTGAAGAAAATATTAGAGCACAGGTAGACTTCATATAAGAGAATTAACTTATATCACCATCATCCCCTTTTCTTCTTATGTAACAAACAGACCGCCGCATATCACGAATACCATGAATTCCACCCGAACTCTCAAACGAATCGCATTCGCTTTTTTGGCGGGCACTGTAGAGCCCGCAGTAGTAGTATTAAAAGCCGTTTGCGTGTAGCTATTGTCATTTTCTTGGGACACCAACGTACTGGCCACATCTGTCCCCTCGCCAGAATCCGACACACATTCCCAGGAAAAATCTAACGTACACAGGGCAGTGGACCCAGCTGGAGAATTTCTTGCGCATTCACTTTTTGTTGCAAACTCTTTAATCTCTTTCGTCACTGGATTTCTCTTGGTACAGCATGAGCATGGATCACATCTGGAGATAAAATTATGAACGGGGACTATGTAAACAGAAACGAAAAAAAAACAAGGCAGCAAAGCTGTCAAATGTACAGACAAAAAACAGAAAAAAAAGATGCAAAATAGGTCATTTTGTTAATTTTGATGCAATAATATATGCTTATAATAGCACAGTCAGTCAACACTGATTTTTAATCATGCACAACAGGTAACATGGTCAATAACAGGAGCAGATCCAGAGATATTTTCTGACAGTATTCCAAAGTATCTTTGTTGATCCATCCTCCATTTTGATGGTCTTCCAACAGAAACCCGTAAATATAAACTTTAAAATCTGACTGTCTTCCAGGAGACCCAGAAAATGGTCTCAATCCACCCCTTCAATAAGATTACAGTTTCAGGACCATGAGAGTTAAAGTTCACATGATGAAAGTCCCAATATATGAAAAATGATGACAGTGCATAAAATAATATTATAGCCTGTTTAAAGACATAAATACCAATACAACTGCTTATGTGGAAATACTGAAAATGTGCAGAGCCTCAGGTGGATGGGAGTTAAAAATCACATCTAAAAAATGCCAGTGTTGGAGAAAAAATTAAAAAGAAAACAACAAAAATATAATTCCAATGAAGCTGCTATTCACTGCTTCCTTATTATGGACACTATGTTATCTAGCAGAGAGCTTAACCTTTGGGAGTTTACAGGGAAATATCAACAAGTGTGCTTTATGAAATTTCATTTAATGGCCGCTTAATTAGGCAAATGAGTTTATAGCACTGAAATTAGCCTAGTGAATACCCAAGGGGAATTTACAGACTGACCACACAAATTTGTCTATCAAAGGTCTTCAGGCCCATAAGTCACACCTTAAGAAAAGCAGAAAACAATAATGTACAAAATAAAACAGGAGACTGCCAATTCTGATGCAATAATACATTATGTTTAACTGCACAGTCAACATCAAATTTTAATTATGCACAACGTACAGGTAACACTGATGAAAGTAAAAGCATAAGGCTCCAGGCCCATCAGAGTTCAAGTTTACAATTAGAAAGTGCCAGAGTGAGAAAAATGAAAATTTCACAAAAAATTCATAAATTTAATAAAAATGATAATCCAATAGAGCTGGTTCTCTAATATGAGCTGTATGTCAATCCTAAGAATCATTTTTGTAAGAATAGTAAAAAAATAGAAAGTAACACTTTACTTTACATAATATCAATGGTGGCAGAGCACAAAGTAGGTTTTTTGTCAATTTTGATGCAACATTACATAATGATTAACTAATTAAATACCACCAATTTTAAAATATCTACTATTAAAAACATGGACATTAAGAAAATTTGATTACCACTGGGCTTCATGCCCAAGGGAGCTCTAAGTCCCACATTGAAAATTGCAACATGTGAAAGATAAAAATTTTCACAAAAAAACCTGTATTACTTCCAAATAATTAACTAATGAGACAATTTTTCAACTGAAGCTGTATTTCAGTCATATGTTTCTTTCCTGTAAGTGTGAGAAGAGCAAGTGACATGGTTTTCCTTTCACCGCCACTAGGGAGGCAGTGCCCAGAATAGGGTTTTGTTCAATTTTTATGCAATATTACAAAATGCTTAACAGCATAATAACCATAAATTTTTTAATAATAAAATAAAAGTATCATGGATATTCAGAAAATGTGACTAGCCTATAGAGTTCAGAGTCATACTTTGAAAATCCCAAAATGTAAACAAGAGAAAACTGTATTGAAAGAGTTTATTTCCATTTTCAACACCTTTTTTACATAAAGCAAAATATGATCAATCAAAAATATGTTGTCAAAGCAAAAATATCAATAGAACAATTATAAATGTCCAACTTGCTCCATTCTGAAATTCTGAACATAGTGAATGGTTGAATCTGACAAACTGTAAAGATATGTTTTTTTT